AAGTCTACATCGATGTTGGGGTGTTTGACTTTCAAAAATGGAAAGATTTTGTCTTAAATAGCCCAACGGTCATTTGAAAACAGCGCTGTTCAACCATGAACATCGCTGTTCAAAAACTTACTGCCCAGGGCTTCTGAAGGCCAACATCGCTGTTGGGATTTCCGACATGCATGTTGGGATGGTTTGCCAGAACCATGGTGTGGCAGCCAACGCCGAAAACCGATGTCAAAAACCAAAGTTCTCCAAAATGAAAACCAAGTGTTGGAAACTCTTATATAATGTATTTAATGTAGAAACCAAGTATAAAAACTTAAAAACCACTTCATTAAGGTAAAAATCACGGCTAGCCAAGTTTATGCCATTTCACATGGTTTTCACCAAAAGACCAAATGTTGGAAACCAAGTGTTGGAAACTCTTATAACATGTTTTTGTTGGAAAACCATTTTGATATGTCCAGAAGTAAAAACCAATCATAAAATTTTAAAAACCACTTGATTGATTTGGGCGCCAAAAACCAACACCGATAACCGGCGCCGAAAGCCGATAACCAATGCCGAAAAACAAAGGTTATGGTTTTTGAAAACTAATCATTTGGAAAACCTTTAAATGTGTCCAGAAGCATAAACCAAAGATAAAAACCCAAAAACCATTTGGTTAAAATCAATGCCAATAACCAATGCTGAAAACCGAACGCCACGGCCGAACGACGATAACCGATGGTTATGGTTTTGGTTAATCAAGAACCATGGGTTTTAGAAACTTAAAAACAATTTATGAAAACACTCATTTGATGCATGAAAAACATATTTTTTTTTGAGCCATGACGTAGAGAAATTGAATGAGCTTGTTACAATAAAACCTAAGTCTTTAGAATACGTCTTCAAAATGCCAATGTCGCCATCTTTAGCAGCGTCAATGCCTTTCTTGTTCTTTTTGTTTCTTCAAAGAACTTTTTCTATCTCTTTGAATCTTTTCATTTTGTTCCATGTTCCCGACGGTTTGTCAATATCAAAACCTAAATGGAAACAAACATTGTCATTAGCAAAATGTCAAAGTGAAAATGTTTTCCAACAATTTCCCCCTTTTTGATAATGACAAACCAAGGAGGGGATATGCAGGCCAAGTTGGGTTTTCAAAGAGAGAGTAATGGTAATTCCCCCTACGTCTTTGAAAACACTTCCCCCTTTTGGCATTAGCAAAAAGCACTAAGTAAAGTTTAAAAAAAGAGGTACTCCCTGAGCATTGATGTTTGATACAAAACATCATTGTTGTATGTTCCCCCTGAAACTGATACTATATTTATAGCAAAAACAATTCCCCCAAAACTCCCCTTGATGCAAATTATTAGGTTTCGTGTTTGGAGCATCCACTACAAAAATGTAGTCTTCAAACACACCTACATATGCATCTAACAATTTTTAGGTACCCAAAAACTTTTGGGTCCTTCAGGGTTAGGAAAATAATAATCATAGCTATAAAACAAATCCCT